TCGGGAGGCTGACGCAGGAGGATCTTTGTGAGTTCGAGACCAGCCTGGGTTACAAAGTGAGCTCAAGGCCTGCCTGAACTGCATAGAGACCCTGTCTCAAAAAAAGACGGAGCAAAGATATTTAAAGGAGAATCTTAATTTTTAACTTCTGTTTTATGGCTACAGGTTATGTCATATAATCCCCTAGCCAGGGTTAGAGACGAGGCTTACAGGTAAAGTTCTTGCCTATAAAGGGTGAGGCCCTGGGCTCAATTCTCAACACTGAAAAAAGAAAAAAAGCAGGATGCACCAAAATTCAATCAAAGAAACATAGGTTGGGTGTGGTGGCTCAGGCCTGTAATCCCAGCACTCCAGAAAATTGAGGCAGAAAAATCACAAGTTTGGACCTAGCCTGCAGCACTTAGCAAGATCCCATATCAAAACAGAAAAACTGAAAAGGGCTCAGGATGTAGTTCAGGGCGAAACACCACAAAAGAGAAAGGAGGGAGGAAGGAAGGAAGGACAGATGCTTGGGGTTCAGAGACAGATTTGAAATCATAACCCCAGATCTGCCATATACCAGTAATATAATATGGGGCAAACTATTTAACATAATTAATTGCCAACTTGGGGTGGGAAGTAAACTTAAATATTGAATTTCAAAGTACTTACGTATGCTGTGAGGAAAAGCAGAAATGGTATTTATATCCTGTTAATTTTTTTCTACAAATGCAAAAGCCCATGGAGAATAGTCGAAAGGAACTGGTTTCTTCAGTTTCACATACACACAAAGTATTGTTATATTGCCTTGATCTCATAATTTAACAGATTTGTTTGGTCACATCACTGGTTAGGTACTGATTTGGATGGGTTAAAAACAGCAAATCTCAAACTTATACAAGCTCTAAGGAAAAACAAAAAATGTATTTATGCCTTGTATTAGGTATTGTTTGATGCCCACTAGCTAAACTCAAAAGGCCACGTGAGATAGGCCATGGAAAACTACCAAGCTTCCTACATTTTCAGACCATAAGCCTACAGGTCTCTGTTTTTCAAAATGGAGTTAGGGGCCACCCTTCAGGGAAAAACCTGGTGCTTAGAAATAAGGCAACCTACAAGATACAATTGGCTCATCAAAGATAGTTATTTTAAACCTATATTGTGGAGCAAAATATAAAGTTGACCATTTCTTATAAAATAAAACTTTCAAATAATTTTATTGTGAAAACCAAAGTCTAGACCTGAAACACTAAACAAATTCACCCCCTCTGCCATTTGGGATGTTGCCATGAATAGGCACAGATGTCTATCATCTAGCCATTCCTGGTTATACTTGATTTACAAGACTAGATCCCCTCACTCTAAACCAGTTATTTAATTAACAAATTATTAAAGGCACATGAACATTACATTGTACAACTTGTCATTAGTTGACATCAGCATACTCACTGCATTCAGAATTAAGGTTTACAATCTGGTGTGCATACACACACACACACACACACACACACACACACACACACACATCAGGTATAAGAGATTTTGGTAACATCCTAAATAAACTCACATTAAAAACAAACTAGCCAACCTGAAGTGTGATATGTTGTTTTTCCTGTTCTACTTTACATATTTTAATTTTCTGTAGTTTTCCTTTTTAATAGTGAGGAAATACTAAAGCGAAGTTTAAAAGTTTTTAAAGCCATCCTAAAGAAAGATACCAGTTTGAAAATTGCTCTGATGATCTTTTAAAATATGTGCTTCTTTACCTTCACTAATATGAATAATCAGATATGATTTACTATATTATTGTTCAACTTTATCATTCCTTATATCGAAAGGTAATCCATCAAATGTTCTGATACTATTTCTTCATGCAATAATGCCAATCATTTTAAAACATGTACCCAAAATTCACTATTTAAATCACATTTTTGTCCATTTTATCTATAACAGTACTTAATTTACCCTTATCATCAATTCGGCAACTGTGTGGCAAACAGAGATAAAATAGGTACCACTAATGGGAATATAGTGAGACCCAAAAATCAAGCAAATAATGCCTATTTCAACACCAATTTTAATAATTATTAATTTCCTTATTATCTTGGATATAGGTTACATCCTTCCCTCTACCGCTGTTTAATACAAACTATACAATCAAAAAATGTAATCTCTAGGAAAATGCTAAGCATGTATTACTTCATAAAGTTGAATGCAATCCTACCACAAGAAATAATTTTTAACACAGCAACATTTTTTTAATGATAGAGTCAAAGCTTCAGTCACATTTGATACCTACAAAATGTACTTCCAAGTAGAAACATGGGGTTTCACTTTCCCAATGTGAAAGAGTCATGCCAGTAGATTTTTAGAGGAAAACACAATTCTTTTAAAGGGAAATAATATTTATTATGTAACAGATTTATATTTATTAATCAAGATCACAAACCAAACTGAGGACTATTTAAGTACACAAAAATATTGACAAGTCATATCAATCTGGTAAGGAAATTCTAGATAATGTTAAAGAAGTTTGTTACAGTTTGTGCTTGGATGCCCCCCTCCCAAGCCTCATGCAATCATGGACATGGTTGATTGTGATTTATTGTCTAGCACTGGGATTGGTGGTGTGAGTGCTACATGCGCCCAGGGGTGGAGCTGACATGCACTGTACGGACAGGAAGAACGCATGTCTTTTCTTTTTTGTATGGTTGAATCTTGCTGTTTCGTGGAGGTCATGACAGGCAGCCTGCCATGTCACCCTGACTTGGAGCCAGCTGAGTATGGACTGAAACTTCCAAAATTGTAAGAAATAAACCTTCCCTTCCCTAATTTAGGGCATCAGGTATTTTGTCTCAACAATGAGAAAAAAGTAATCAAGACAAATTTCCACTACATTCTTAAGGAAAATACAGTAATTCTGACACCATTAAAGTAAAAAGTTATAACCCTTCAAATAAATGGAAAAGTATAAATATAGTATAAGTGCTTTAATATTGAGGCTAGAAAATGTAAATTGGGTACTAAAAACTGTTTATCACAGAACATGGATATTGTTTTTTCAGTGCTTTAGACCCAAGGCCTTAGACCAACAATCATGAACCTTTTAGACCAGGCCCATTCAGCCTGGTGCAGTCAGCACACCTAACGTGAATTTGAACTCAGCTGGGAGCCACTAGATGAACCCAGCAGTTGTTCTAAGTTCTACGCTCAGCTGGTCCCTCTACAAGATGGCTGCTGGCCAATCACCCACTGCTATAGAATATTAGAACTCACTACACTGGTCTCTAGCTAGTGCAGTCTTTTACGTCTGCTGCTCCCCTCTATTGCTGCATGTCTCAATGGAGACCTCTGGGGTCACCAGCAGTCAAAGTGTGTCCTCCCATACAGTGAGTCCCAGCTCAGGGAGAAGGCACATCTGGCTACCTTATTCTTCTTCATTGAAGTTTCACTCTTCGCTCTCCCCATGTGCTTCAGTTCTTGCTTCAGATCTTTCTTGGGTTCAGGGAATCCATTTCCCTCCTTCTTCTCCTCTTTGCCTTGCTATATTCCACTGTATGGACTGCAACTCTCAGAGAGGGTCTTCCTCTATTGCTTACCACTTTGTCATCTTTCCAGAAGTCTCCACAGTGGACCTTTCAGAGCTTCCAGCATTAACAAACAACTGGCTATAGAACATTTGCCCTAGATTCCCAATCACTGGTGTAGACTATTACCACCCACTAGCAATTCCAATGAGAGGTTCCATCCAATGGCTAGCTGGAATTACATTATACAGTGTAACTAATGAAACATTTTACTTTCTTGTACAAACTATAAAATTAAACAGGATATAATCTTGGCTAGGAAGGGCCAGTTCAAAGAGGTCAATTTTCTATCATATCCAATTAATAACAAATTCAGTAGCAGACTTAAGTTTCTGTCAACACTACATCAAAATAGCAAATTTATAGTGCCTTTCAAAAGCTCCACAGTGAGAAAAATAAAAGTCAAGAGAAACAGTAGTATTTAATTTACAGTTTATTAGCTCTTCCAGTGTTTCAGAAGGACACAAGGTTTCAGTGCTGTAACATGAATGGGAAAGAGGTGGACTTAGAATGTACTGAACAAATATATTGATTAAATCAGTCTATTGGTATAGCTTTTTGGCTTATTGCTAATTAATATCATCAGTCTTCCATTCAGGTGATCTTAGAGTTCAAAGGGAAACCAAAATGTCCTAAAATTGAAGGAAAAAAAGTTAATTTACTCATTACCTAAACTTCAATATCTATATTAATTTGCTTATGTTCCAACATATTCCTACTTATGAATACTTACCTATGTGTTCCCAGTCTGTGGCTCAATTAAAATGCAAAGTGTGCCCAATTCAACAGTCTCACAATATTTTATCATTTCCCCTACATCTAGTTCTTGATTAGGCTACCTGAGTTTATGGCACCTAACAAATCTTTTTGCCAAGAAAGCAACACTCTCAAGTACTGATAAAGACCAGTAAATGAAAACTAGGTAAAGAGCGAGAGAAAATGCCAAAATTGGTCAAGAGTAGAGTATATTTACCAGGGAATTTCATGAATATGGTCACTTACTATGATAAATTCCTCTTCAGTCTAGGTCAAAATAAGTGAGAAAGGGAACTATTTATGACTTTTAGGTTAACATGTGTATAGAAACTCAGAAGGACCTTTTTGTTGCATAAACAGAGAAAGCAGTATACACAAGCTGTCATTCCTTTCTGGCCATGCCTTGTATATACAGGAAACTAACTTGCCTATGGCAGGGTTTACACAACACCAAAAAGATCTGAATATGCATGTGGACAAGACCTTGATAAACAGCCCATGTACCATATGCATAGCTGGAATAAATAAAGACCTTAACAGACCTGAACACCAAAATGAACGCACCTTAAAGTTGGAGAGGAATAAACCTGTGTATATGCTGGTTACACTATCTCATACTGGTTATTTGTTATGGCGTGTGAGAGGCAGTAGGCTAGAAAGATTCCAATTAGCTGGAAAGAAAATATGAAAAAAATTAAATACACACACATATGACCTTGAAGACCTAGTTTATAGATGTACTCTCCTTTCACTTATAATTCATCAATAATTTCCTTGGATTTTTCAAGACTTATGTTTGAAACTGTGCATTCAAAGAATGTAAGTGAAGTTTTATAACTACCATGACTCAGAATTTCAAAACTAGCATCGAAGGAAAATTCATAAGTTCAGGGGCTCTACTTGCCCCCTTCTTCTCCTCTTTGCCAGAAAAAGCAATTATATAGTTTAGAATAAACATCTTATTAAGTAAAATCTCCATCTATAAGGAAAGCAGTGTTGTAATCATGTCAGTATATATGCTGTCCAATATGGTAGCCATTAGCTCCATGTGGCTACTGAACACTTCAAATGGGGCTAGAACAACTAAAGTTTTCATTTTATAATTCTTCAAAGGAGGCTAGTGGCTCTTGTATTAGCGAATGCACAGACAGTTATACATGCTTTTTTATAACTATACTAGGACTAGCCTTGAATTTGTCTTATTTCCACAATGTTAAATATGAGGGAAGAACCCATGCCCTAAAAAAATCATTTAGAACCATAATAGAAACTCATGCTGTAGTAAGAAGCAGAACCTTGGAAGATCAATTCAAACTACAACATTAGCACCTATACAAAATAATAGGCACATATTGAATGTAGGGTTGTAAGATCTAAATTTTAAGAGGTTGGAACTCATGTACAACTACTAGGCAAATTGAGTCCAGGAGAGAAACATGTTAATGTTTTTAGACATTTTAATGATTGCAGAGAAAAACAAGGTTCCCATCTATTTCATACTTTGTTAACTAAGAGGACACTGGGTGCTCCCAAAGTTAACTACTTTTAGAAGACATGTACTGCCAAGAGATAATTCTAGCTCTTGCTTTTTGTAATTTCAAGTCATGATTGGCCACGTTAAAAGAAATATACATTTAGAGAAATCTAGTTGTGGACAGTAGTATTGGAAAACCTAAGATCCAAGTTACCTTTTCCTTCTTAAAAAACAAACCCAAATAATTATCCAATCACAAATCAAAATCAGCAATACTATGCATACAGATCATTGCACCATATGAAAAATGAGTGACTAGTAACAGAGAGCTCTGTGAAAATGTGACTTCCCTTACTGTCCTCACTTGATCCAGGCCCCTGAAGCAAAATCTTCAAGCCTTAGGAGTGGAAATCTATAAAGAAAATGAAACATTGCCTATGAAACTACATGGACTTACCTGGAAGCAAGCAACTCCAAAGGAAATTCCTGCAACAACTCCCATTTCTGACTCAATAATGGCCATCACCTTTAAAAAACAACCCTAATGGGGGGAAGGGAACATTAAGTGTGACACAAGCAATCACTGCTTTTCTTTATGAGAATAAATTCTTTGATCATACCACTTGCTAGCTGTATAAAATCAAGTCCTATCATCCCTACCTACTTCAGATTATGTATACTAACGTGACTAAAATTAAGTAAAGTCAATTCTGTATTATACCCTCAAATATTTTCAAGTAAATTTTTAATGGCTCCTTACTTCGCTGTTGACTTTATCTGCATCTTTCTGTGGCGAACAATCTTCAAGTTTACAACAACTCTTGGGAAATCCTTTTTCTGAGTAATAACGAGTCTCTTCCCAATTTCTATAATCAGTGACACCGCAACAATGCAACTGAAAAATCCAACAGAAGCATTTATATTGCATATTACAACTTTGTAGTCAAAGTAACATCATCTAAATTTTACTACACTAATCTCTCTCCTCAACTGATTCTACACCAACTGTGACAATTTTGGACTGGCCTTACTTTCATGCTATACTTGGCACTACTAGTATTTGACTATGATCCAAGTGGAAAGGGAAGAGAACAGGGACATGTGTGAGGAAAATGAAATGCGGGCATCTTACTTGGCATCTGTGCACATATTCTTCCCATACAGATGGAAAACACGTAGCAACCTGGCTTTATCCTTTTCAGCTACATGACAGTAAATGTATTTCCTTCTAGGGAAGCCACCATCTATAAATTCTTACCATATTTTGGATCTTGTCTATTGCTTCACTTCTATAATCTCCTGTAGAGTTATACTGCTTCAAAGCCTTCTCATAATTATTCTTAAAGCTGTTCTTAATCTATAGCAAAAATGAAAATCAAAAACACAGATAATTATTCTAGTTGTAAGTCAAGTACAAAATTCTCACATCTGATTAATGGTGATATTTTTGATATGTAGTGATTAAATGTTCAATCCTATCCTCTAAGAAATCCAGTTTAGCTGAGGGAACTACTAAGTAAAACATTGTAAGATGAAAACTATTCCAAAGTTCAAATTGCTGGAGGAGCAAGTATTTTTCTCAGTGGCCACTCCGCACTGATCATTCTATTCTTTACTCCCCCTCCCACATACACAATCTTTCCCCATCTTAAATCGAATACAAATTAGATGCCCATGGTATTAAGCTACAAAACCTTACTTTGGGAGACTGCATCGATGGTATGCAAAATGTTCTCACTGATGAATTGTCACTAAACTGAATGATTTCCTAACAATCCCAGTCTAACCTTATTTCTAATTCAATATTAAATTGATTATTGCCATTAAGTGTATCTAGTCTTTTTTAAAAAATGTATAGCTTGCCAGGCATAGTGGTGATGCCTATAATCCCACCACTTGGGAAGCTGAAGCAGGATGACCACTTCATATTCAAAATCTGCCTAGGCTACATAATGAGCTCCAGGCTAATCTAAACTACAAGGAGAAATCTTGTCTCAAAAAGAAATGTGTGGCTTAAGTGAAAAAGGTAACAATTCTCTTATCATTTTTTTATTTTCCTAACAGGTATAACGTTATAAATTGTATTAACTCCATTTAAATGGGTATTTATACACAGAAAAACAACTGGCACCCATGTAATTATGAGTAATTTAATTCTTTGCTAGTGACTTGCAAATTTTCATTTATATTAAAAATGAGCCAGAATTTGTATTAGAAAGCTATTACTGTCAGCTATAGGCTGAAAAGTAAGAAGCTGACTATGATTTTAAACTATTAAAAATTCCTTAACTCTGCCACTTAATCCATATTTTAGAAAATAAATTTTAACATATTAAGATTCTCTATTTCAGGCTTACCTCATGTCTGAAAACAAATCCTACAATGGCAGCGACTAGTTCAACCAAAAAAATGAGAATCAGAAACATTGCATACTGTAGGATAAAAAGAAAGTGCAAGTCAGCATAAAGAAGACATCACAGCCGCAAAGGGATTCAAAGTGGAGGAAAAGGTTCTACTCAATGAGCTCAGTGTGTTTTTCTTAGGACAGGGAATCTAGTATCAAAATATCTATCAGCTCAGCATATTTTTATTAAAAAGGGCAAGGAAAACAATATCAAAATGTCTATTTTGAAAGTGAAAACTGGCAGCTTAACTGTTACTCTGTAAATTTTCATAAGGAACAGGAAAAAGTGTAAAAAGCTATGGCCAGCTCCAGGAAACAAGGCCTACAACATATAAGGCTTTTCTAAAACCAAGAATCAATTCTAAGGAAAACAAAGACTCACCAGTTTTAGCATCCATGCAGAAGCTCGGCAGGTAGCAAAACAACCAAAGGTACTCAAAAGAATAATGACAGTGCCAGTGACAATGAGCACGAAGGGGACATTGGTGGCCTTCTCATTTAAAAGTGAAAAATAATTTTCCAAGCTCACCTTGCCCCAAATGCCCACAGCAAGAAGGATTATGCCAGTGATCTATGTGAGGAATCAGAGAATAAAAAAAGTTAGGACTTCTATGTGCTAGGATCTTCAAATTATAAACCAGGAAGCATTTAAGGCACAATGGATATGAGAACTAATTTAACAGTCTGGTGGTCACAGTCCTGTGGCTAGGAAAAGGGCGAGGATGAACGTGGGTAGGAAGATCTGTACACAAAGATAAACTATTTACAAGACATCTTACCAAAACTCTTTAAATTTATGTGTTTGGGGGAAGGGGGACGGTAAACCCAAGCCCAGGATGTGCCTTAGAGATCAAAACTTCCTTAACTATTTTATTCCCCTGATTTAGGAAGAAAATCCTGGAGGCGAAAAAAAAACACTTTTTAGTTCCACAAACATCTCCCTCCGCCCTCCCCCAGTTAAGGGATGAACACAGGATAAAAAGGGACAACTCACAAAAGTAAACTGAAGACAGATTGGCGGGTGGCTCATACTTACTGTGAAACACTCCTCTCTCCTGAAGCAGTGAAAAGAAAAGATTCAGTACTATTATGCTTGCGTCCTCTAGGGTTTAATTCATGTCCTCCCCTGGCGCTGCGAACACTTGGCTTGTCTGGGGCCCAGCTCAGAGCTTGGGCTGCCTTTGTTCCGCACCCAGGCTCGACTTGATGTCAGAGTTCCAAACACTCACCCCAGGCCCTCCGCCAGCGGCGGTGTCCCAGGAGTCATCAAAACCCCAGCCCACTCTGGACCCAAATTCCATTCGCTCAGGTCACACCCCCACCTAAATCAGGGATCCCCGCCGTTCCTGAGCGCAGGAACTCTTACCCAAAAGATGAAGGTGTAGATCAACAGAAGGCTCTTGAAACAAGTAATGACTGGTTTAGTCTGCAGTCTCTGAGAAGAGGACGCCATTAAGTAGTCCCAGACACTGCACCACCACAAAAGGCGTTTCAATGGGGAAAGCAAGACTCAGAGTCCTGGCGGGTCTCCGAAAATTTACGAATTTGCAACTGAGAAGAGCCGGAAACACCCACTACACTCTAGAGGGTAAGGTCCGGAGTCTGTACTAAAATTTTCCGAGCGCCCCCTGCTGAAGCTTATTAAAAGCTACATACAAACCTTCTAATTTTGTAAATTTCGTAGGTTTTCTAGTGGAGCTTGCTTGATTTTATTCTCTTCCAAGGCACTACCGCCCTGCCCTTCTCTCTTCCTTAAAACTTAATTATATTGTTTCTAACACCAGCACTCCTAGCAACGCTCCAAGATTCGGCCTCGCTGGGCCCTGGTAACCTAGAAAGAAGGAAAAGAATGAAAGCTGTTTAGAAGTGATCCAAGAAAATATTACTATGTGGGGAAATGATCACAAGAAATATATCTCCAAGTGAAACAAAACACATTACAAAGCAATACGTACAACTGCATGTGTTTAGATAAAAACTGAAAAGTGAAATTTACCTTGGCGGTGGAAACAGGCTGATCTTTCCTTCTCACTTGTTTTGTGCTTTTCAATTTATTTTGTAGGATGAGGAGGGGGATAAGAATGTATGAATACAGGGCAATAATCACTTGTTGAAAGAATTCCAAGGGTAGCTATTAAAAATAATAATCGATTTTGGAATTTCCTTCAGAAGTTTGTAAAACTCCATTGTCCCTCTCCTCCTTTATCTAAGTAATTGCAAACTTCAGCCATTAATTACGAAGTTTTTAAGAGGAAGAGTGCTATAGAGAATGCTAAGTAATTGTAACCCACTTATTAAATGCTGAAAGTAAAAGGCACTCTATATTTCAGCCCCCTGATTTTCCCATTAAGAACCAACTGATCACAGACAGGCTAAGAACTAATGTCACTGGACTAAGAGCAAAGCCCAAAGGAGAGATTCCTGTAATCCAAGATGCTTTATCTATTACACAAAGTGTGTTATTTAGTTTCGAGATTTCTGCCTTCCCCAAACTCTCCCAATTGTTTAGAATGTCCTAGAACTTGGGACTGTTTTATTCGTAAAGTGTTAAACTCTTCGCAGAATGGCAATAAATTACTAAAAAGGTTCTTTTCTCATCTATACAGAAGTTGTGCTAAGTCAAATATAGTGATAGAGTGGAAAATTTTTAAAATATTTAAAACTCAGCCTTCTGCACATTTTCCTCAACAAAAACTGAGACTTCTTTGGTTTTGGCTTAATTTCAAGAAGGATTAAATGTAAAGGCAAGTTTCTAGAGGCCTAGAAAACTTGGATCATGAAAAATGAACAGAGCTTTTCAGAGTATTAATGTCATATATATAATCTTTATTTTCAAAAGGAATAAATTGGAGGTGTTCAACCTGATATACATAAGTAGGTACACATATTAATCAAGCTACAGATGTAGCTTAATCCTGTGCCTCTCTTTAGAGGGAGGAAAAAGAAATTAGCCTAGATGTTACAGATTCCTACTGCGTCCTGCTTTCTGGTACTCTTAGGCTCTAAGAGTGACAAAGTGATACATTATGAATTGCTTTCAATTTAAATAGGTGATTTACACCAACAGAGTTAAAAGAAAATCCACAGAATGGAAAAAAAATTTAGCCAACTGTCCCTCAAAGGACTCCTATCTAGAACATACAAAAAAGTGAAAAAATCAGATCCCCCCAGATTCAAAGACCCAATGCAAAAATAGCCATCTGAGATGAATACAAACTTCTCAGATAAAACATAAATGGAAAATAAATATATGAAAAAATGGTCAACATCATTGATCATCCAGGAAATGAAAATTAAAACAACACTGAAATTCCATCTTACTCCAGAAAGAATGGCCATCATCAAGAAATCAACCAATAACAAATGCTTGAGGGGCCATGGGTTAAAAGGAACTCTGCTTCATTATTGGTGGGAGTGAAGACTGGCATAATTGCACAATATCACTGGGGAGATTCCTCAAAAAATTAGCATTAGCAGTCCCATTTCCCAGAAGAATTAAAAACATCATACCACAGGGATGTATGCGCACTAATGTTTATAGCAGCACAATTTGTAATAGCTAAGTCTTGGAAACAACCCAAATGCCCATCAACTGAGGAATGGATAAAAAAGATACAGTATTTTTATATAATGGAGTGCTTCTCAGCTATAAAGAAGGATAAACTCAGGGCTTTTATAGGTAAATGGATGCAGCTAGAGACTATACTTGCAAGTAAAATAAATCAAACTCACATGCATAAGCATTGTCTTGTCTCCCTAGTGCAACAAATTAAAAGGGTACATAAGATACAAAATCTGTAATAGATATTGAGAAAGGAAAAGAAACTGTTCACAAGGCTAGAACAACTGGGATGGGAGAAAGGAAATACAAAGAAAGGGAAAAGGAAAAAAAAAAATATATATATATTCAAGATAGCTAACATAAGTCTACCACTAATTTCTTTTAGTTCATTGAAAAGATCAGTCAGTGCTTTTATTGGTTGATTAATTATGCATATCTATGTCTTGTAATCTGAGCAACTACTTTGAAGATAACAATATGCAATACATTAACCACTGTTAATTTCTTATTATCTTGTTTTGAAATTCTGTATCATTGTTTTTATTTTTGTTTAACTTTTGTCTCTTTAAAATAAAAATAAATAAATAAATAAAAGATTTACTTCTCATAGAAACCTCAGGGTAGGGATGTCTTTTTCATGTAGGCATATTCAAAATGTATTTACAAACTACTTTAAATGCAGATGGATTAATAAAGTAGTATAGGCATCCTGGTCTCATTTTTTCCCTATTTTTCACTCTTAAATCACAAGCTCGACATTACAAAGGGCCTTTTAATGTATTGTTATTGCAAAAAATCTTGTTTTCATGGAGGAAAGGTTAATGCTCAAACTTTTCTTCTTGAAACCATGTTTTAAACACATACCAAAGAACCACAAAACAGGAAAGTTCAGAAACAGAAAACAGTAAAGTTCTATTGACTTGGTCACACAGAGCTTTCCTGTGCTTTGAATATTGACCTAGGACCAGTTCTTGTAACATACTGCCAGACATCTGAGGTCCAAGGGAAAAACTATCAGAGATGAATTATTATACTGCCAGACTTTATAGTAAAATACTATATTAAAATTAGAAAATTCTAAAAAAAATACAGGGAAAGAATTGAGAAATCAACTATCAATATACATTAAATACTCTTTACATTTAAACACTTGAAGGCAAAATCATCTGGAAACAGTCTGGCATTCAACTTTTAAAATGCCACGTACACCACATCTACAAGAGAGAAGGTTAGAGGGGAAGAGATATATGCAAAGCTTTCTCTCTAGAGTAAATAATCCTAACTGAAAAGTCCTTGTATTAAAAACAAGTATCAAGGGCGAAGTCTTGCTAACACCTTGTCATTTCCACTGAAGCTTAGATTTGTATCATGTCCTAGGAGTGATTTTCATTGTTAGCCTAAGAGCAAAAAGTATTTTTGTGGCTAAAGAAAAATGAAATAGCTAAAGCAAAAGCTACATCTCATTTCCAAGAATATGTTGACTTTCTCCCTCTCCCTTCCTTTGCCACTCACAACGCTGCTTTGTTTGGACAACAGTCATTGCCAAATTAAACCAAATGCTGGCATGGATATTAATATTCCTATCGCCACAACACCTTATACCAGTGCCTCTCACTCTGCTACACCTACTTCCCACTACACCTCCACTTTGCCATCAGAAATTCAGTTTAATTTAAACCAGGGTCCAAATTCAAATCAAAGGGACAAATTCATTTGTTAAAGTATTTATAATAACTGTAAGAGTGAACACAATGTACCAGCCACTGTTTCTAAGTGCTTAATACCTGTTGCCTCACACATTATAAAATCCCTACTATGATGTCAGCACTATCACTATCCCTTTCTATGATGTCAGCACTACCATTTCCCTTATTTTACAAATGAAGAAATAGATTCAAAGAAGATAAGTAACTTCTCTCAGACTAAGCCCAGCCCAATTTTGTTTTGTTCATTAGAAACAAGGTCCATGCTGCAGTAAGACATGGCTGCTCCTGTATAGATCTTTTGGCTTGGAATGACTTAGACATGTAGCTAAAAACAAGGACTTTATGGAGCCCCCAAAGCACAAGGAGCTTGATTATTACCACAATACTGCCTTATTCTTGGGGATTTTTGGTTTTGTTTTTGTTGTTGAGTCTTACTTTTACTCTCAATTCAGTTGCCCAATCACCAAGGAAGTAACCCTCTTCTTTACTTGGTAGCAAGAGAGAGTTAACTAATTTTCCTCTTTCAACCTCTTAATCTCTTCTCTTTCTGAGCACAAAAATACATTTGAGCCAAAAATGTAGGGCAGAAGCTGTTCACAGACCAGACTGAAAATGAACATCAGAAGACTTGGATCTCAACTAAAGGACAGTATTCCAGTTACTGAACTTTCAGCAAGTGGGCTTTTTGCACATCATGATCTTCTTCAGAAAGGTTTTTCTTATGTGAAAAATGAACTGTTACCAACTAATGCTTTTAAATTATCAGAAGAAAATTTCCATCTCAACCAAAACACAATGAATTTTTCCACTTTGTTATAATTTGATTATACAAAATTAAAAATAGTGACATATGAGAATTTTTTACTAATATCTATGATGAATTGAAATTATTTGAGTCTTGAGTATTTATGGCTCTGTGACAGTTGAAAGCACTAAAAGTAGATGATGTTAAAGCTCCAAATTTGTGGTAAAACAATGGCTTTCCCTGTCTTTCAAAAAGTATTTCCAGTAAATATTAGAGAATTATCAACAGGTTCCAGTTCAACCTACTATCTAGTTATTCTTTCAATTTAATTTTAATGACAATTATTAGCATTTGAGCCTACATTCTTCACTGTAGCATCTTTTAGAATAAGCATGTATACAGGAATACCTCAGTGCCTGAATGCTTGTGTTTGCAAGAAGTTTGATTCACAAACAAAAGTGACAAATTTTGCTTCTGTTCACAAACTCTGCATCACGTAATAAACATTATCACAGCCATCTTCCCCAAAATCATAAAACGTGTTTATAAACAGAAATGCCACTGTAACTTATTTTAGTGGCAACACGTAAAAGGGAGTATAG